CAACTTTCAGGAGACAAAACTTGAATCTAAAGACCTTCTCTGCAATATTTTCCAGCCTTTCCTAGCTGGGAATTCGTGTCTGTTGTCTGTAACCCATTCTGGGTGTGTTGTGTGGTTGCTTTTGTTCTGTGATATGGAGTTATTCACAAAGCCAGGAGGGACACTGTCAGATCCTGGCAGTAATCCAGCACTGCTTCATTAGAGGATGGAATTATCAAGTAGAATGACAGGCCAATGGATCATGAGGTTCAGAATGGGGACACTTAGTGTCCAGGGTGCTGCTGGCAGAGTTCTCAGGTCTCCCTGGCAGTCTGTTGGGGTGCTAGGAGCAAGCTGTCATAATGAGGAACCACTCTCTCTGTCTCTCCCAACTGTGACCTTAAATAGCCCCGAACAGCTTGGCTGTGATTATCTCACACTTGGCAGTGGTCTCCTTGAGCTCTCTTCCCTGCAGTCTGTCATTCCCAGTGGAGTCTGATGCTCTGCTCTGTGTTTGCAGATGGCGGTGCTGGAGATCCAGGGGAATGGGGAGTCATCATATGTGCCGCAGGAGGCCATCAACAGTGCCATCCAGCTGTTGGAGGACCCCCTGCAGCGGGTGAGTGAGGGGGGTTGGTGCCCTGCATTGCTTGGTGGCATTGCTTGTGGTCTCATGCCGTTTTTGTCTTTAGGAGTTCATTCAGAAGTGTCTAGAACAGGACCCTGGCAGGCGCCCCACGGCCCGAGAGCTCCTGTTCCACCCAGCGCTGTTCGAGGTGCCATCGCTGAAGCTGTTGGCTGCTCACTGCATCATCGGGCACCAGCGTGAGTACAGAGCCCTGGGAGCCACATCCCCTCATCAGTCTGTGTCCTGCAGAGCTTTGCCGAGCTGTCAGTGCAGCTGGCTCCCCGGGAACCCCCCTCCCTGCTGCTCTGCATGGGCAAGGACCCGGCCGTGGGATGCGGCCGTGGGATGCAGCGGTGGCCACCGCGGGGCCGGGAGGGCTGCGGTGCCCAGCCTGCTCCAGGAGCATCAGAGAGCTCAAGACCTCTCTGCTTTTCATTACTTTTCCAAGTCTGGAAAGAAACTGCAATTGTTCTTTTTCCTTTTTTAAAAAAATTAGATATGATTCCTGAAAATGCTTTAGAAGAAATGACCAAAAACCTCGACATGAACGCGGTATTGGCAGAGATCAATCATGAGGACAGGGAAGGAGTCAAGATGATGTGAGTCCCTGTGGTGTGCTCTGGGGGCTGCTGGGGGCAGCAGTGCTGGGGCCCTGGGCTGAGTGCTGCGGGGTCTGACTGGGACTCTGCCCATCACTGCAGTGGTGCTGTTTCACCACTGAGGGAACCAATGGGAGCTGATGGAGCTGGAGGTGAAGGAGCAGTCGCTGCCTCTCTGGGCACACAGAATTCTGGGGAGACTTCTGGGTGGGAGGAGACCTTGCACCTGTGTCCTGGGAGCAGATTCCACGCAGCTGAGATGTGAATCTTTTCCCAGGTGGAGGGGTGGGAAGTGAATATGCTGTAGTTGGAACAGTCCTCAGTGAAACATGGCTGAATAGTTTGGGAGGGTGCTCAGACCAATCACAGCCTTGTCAGATGAAGTCCAACACCTTGGAGGAAGAGCTGCTCCGCATTTTCCTGACGGAGCAGCCTATTCCACACTCTGCACAGGGAAAGGCAGTTTGGGCAGCTGTCAGTGACACACAGCACCACTTACACTGTAGGAGTGGCTCCCTGAGGGAGTGACTGCAATGCATATGGAGCAAGTAGAGTGCCAAAAAGTGATTTTAGATAGCAAAGCCTTGGCCACTTGAGGGATTATCTGAAAAGACTAACATGTGAGTGCTGTGTTCCCAGAGAAGCCCAGGATGCTTCCAGGGGAGCCCAGAGCTGAGATGCTCGAGCTACTGAACAAGAGTAACCAAGGTGACAAGGAAGAACAGCTCTGTCTGTTTGAGCAGCTCTCTGAACCATAGAGACCCTTCTAAAAACTGACCTTTCAGTTGTCATAGTGCTAGGAAATAATAGTATGGAATTCCCTTTGGAATGTTTTTGATAAAGGTTCAGAATGGAGGACAAGTGAACAGCCAAAGCTGTGCAAGAGAGATCCTTTACACACATGGGATGTCAGTCTGTGTGGGTTTGGCTGTCTGTAGGCACCAGCCTGGGACTTCATTTTGGAAGTGCCATACCTCGGAGGTGCTGGAAAAGGGAAAGGAAGAGCAGCAATGACTTGAAATGTCAGAGAGCATCACTTTTGAGTGGTTCATCAGACTGCAATGCAACCCAAGCTACCAGAAAAAAAAATTTTGTTAAAAACTACTGCTGTGTTTTAGAGGATGGGACAGTCCTAGCTGCTGGGAGTGTGGGAAGGGCTGGAGAGTGGTCAGGGAGCCAAGGCAGGTATGCAGCCCACACCAGACCTGTGGATATCCTGTCAGGGTTTGAGCAGTTTTGCAGTCCCTGCCTCATCTCTGGAATGCTTCAGAGCAGCCTTGAGACATGGGTTTGGCTATTCAAAGTGTTTGTAGCAACCAGTGGGCTGTGTGGCAGGTGTCTGTGAAACACCTTGCCAGGAACAGTGTCATTGGGCCACCTTCCAAACAACTGTGCATTGGACAGCTCTGCAGGGAAGTGAGACTGCTCTGCCCTAACCACTGCCTCGTCCTGAGCTCCTCTGGGTAGTTGTGTCCTTATGGTAGGATTGGAGCCTGTCCCATCTGTGGCTGCCTCTGTCCATTATCCATCCTGCCCACAGACACAGCCCAGGACATGGGGATTTGGAACTGGACCCCAAGAGACTCGAGTGGATGTTATTGTGAGATAACTTCTCATCTCAGGACGTTTTGTTTTGTTTTCCAGTTTCTCACAATCTCCGGCGTTGGAGCTGGACAAGTTCCTGGAGGATGTGAGGTAAGAGGGTTTTTTTAAAGGGCACCTTTAACTGTGTGTGAGACTGGAAAAATTTCGGAGAGCCATAACCTCAGACCCTGCTCCTTTCTTGTAGGAACGGAATCTACCCCCTCACAGCTTTTGGGATGCCGCGGCCCCAGCAGCCTCAGCAGGTCGTGGTGAAATCTCCCATTGCTCCCCCGTCAGTGAAAACCCCAACTCCAGAGCCCGCCGAGGTGGAGACACGCAAGGTGAGCGCCGGGGGCTCCGTTCCCCTGTCCCGTCCCCAGGCAGGAGAGCCAGGCAGCCACTCACCGCCTCTGTGCCTCTGTTCCAGGTGGTGCTGATGCAGTGCAACATCGAGTCCGTGGAGGAGGGGGTGAAGCACCACGTATGTTCCCACTTCTGGCTGAGCTGGGGGGGACCAGGGCAGCCGTGCAGAGCTCATGGCTCTGATGTGCTGCTGGTACCTGGGAGGACCCTGTGCTGCCGCAGCTGCCGCTGCCGGGACCCAGAGCCCGACTCGGGCTGTGCCAGCCACTGACCTGTGACCTCAGCCCGCCCCCAGGTCCAGGCTTCCTGTGTGGGATGGTGCTGCCAGCCGTGGTTCGGGACGAAACTGGCTGAGGCTGCTCTGTCAGACCCCTGTGGGGCTCTGGAGGGGTGGTTTCCGTCCTGGGGGGCATTTCTGGGGATGCTTTGGGCTGGCCGTGGCAGCCTGCAGGACTGCAGTCCCTCATGAGAACTTCTGTGCCCCGCAGCTGACACTGCTGCTGAAACTGGAAGACAAGTTGAATCGACACCTGAGCTGTGACCTGCAGCCCAGTAAGTACCTTCTTCAGCCCAGTAAATAGCCTTCTGACCGTGCTGAGGTGCACTGGGGCCAGCAGTGTGTTCAGACTGGGGACTGACACCCTTCCTTGTGTTGCAGATGACAACATCCAGGAGCTGGCAGCTGAACTGGTCCAGCTTGGATTCATCAGCGAGGTAAGCAGGGGCTCAGGTAGAGCTATAGGCCTGTATTCCTTTCCCAAAGTTCAATGATTTAGGCCAGATCAACCCTTTTCTGATGGGGAGGCAGGAGGAATAAGCCATGTCCCTGCCCTGGGGGGCTCCAGTCAAGCTCTCAGCTTTCAGTGGACAGGGCCTACCCTTAATTGTCCTTGTTCTCCCCAGGCTGACCAGAGCAGACTCACCTGTTTACTTGAAGAGGCGTTTAGCAAGTTCTACTACACTCGGAATGGATCCCTGACCGCAGTGACTGTGTCATCTTAGCCCCACGGCTCCCGGGCGGCCAGCGCGGCCTCGCTGCCTGCGACCCCTCTGTGTCTGCCCACCACTGTCGGGCATCCGCAAGACCCCAGCTGCAGTGCTTGGAAGCTCATCCTGCATGTGCCGTGGCTGGGCTCAGTGACAGTCCTTCCTGCCCGCCTCTAAAGGGGACTTTGCGCATCAGTATTATTTCCAGCCCTGTTTTTGTTGGGATTTTGCCCAGGTCATGCTGCAGAGCTGAGGCCTGGCTCGGGGTGTTCTGCAGCCCCACTCATGTGCATGGAGTTTGTTCTGTTTGAATTGTACAAAGTGTCTTTTGCACAGCACCGAAATGGTTTTTTTTTTTGGTTGGTTTTTTTTTTTTCCCTTTTTCTTTTTCTTTTTTTTTCCTTGTTTTAATTTAAAGGTAAGCAGGGGTGAGCCCCTATGCCCCGCCCCCATCTGCACCCCCGTCACTCCCCCCGTTCCCGGGCCGCGGGGCCCGGGGGTGGCCGGGCTCCCCACCCTGCCCGGCGCTTCGCTCCCGCCCCCGGCTGCACTTTGTTTACTGGTTCGCACCCGCCCGGGGCCGCGGCGTGAGCCGGCCCCGGGCTGTGGCCCCGCGGCCCTGGCAGGCCCCCGCCCTCCCTGCGGGCCCCGCGGGCTCCCGGGGCTGCGGGGGCTGCAGCGGCCCCGTCGCCCCGTCCCGGCGCGTGGCGGGGCTGAGCCGAGGCTCCTGCATCTCATTTCTATCATTTCCTATTTTTAATAAACTGTTTTGTAAATACGCGAGTGCCGCCTCTTTCCGGGCGGGGCGGGGCCGCCCGTCCCTGCCCCGGGGCGGTGCGAGGGCGGCGGTGGCGGCGGCCATGGCCGGGGGACGGCGGGGGCCGGGGGCGCTGGCGGAGCCGCGGCGGCTGATGCGGTCGGGGCTGGGGCTGATCGTGCTGGGCCACGGCAGCTTGGTGCTGGGCGCCATCGTGCACGGCTCGGTCCTGCGGCACGTGGCCGGCGCCCGCCGAGCCGTCACCCCCGAGTACGCGGCGGCCAACGTGGTGTCGGTGTGCTCGGGGCTGCTGCTGAGCGCGGGTCTTCCCGCAGAGCATCGCCGCCGGCATCGTCGCCATCCTGGTGTCGCACAATCTGTCCCGGGCGGTCCTGGTGAGTGCGGGGCTGCGGGGCCGAGCGGGCCGGGGGCCTCGGCACGGCCCTGCCTCGCCCACGGCCGCTCCCCTGGACCTTGGCCCCGCGGGCTCCTTCCGCCTCGGCGGCGGCTGCCGGAGCTGCGGGTGTCGCCTCTGCCCGGCTCGGCCCCGCCGGCGGCCCCGGGAGGGCGGGAGCGCCTCGGTGGGTGAAGCTGCAGCCGCGCCGGGGTCCCTCATGGGCTGAGGGGTGGGCGGACACGGAGCGGGGGGCGCGGGGCTGAGGGGCGGCGGGGGCGTCCCAGCGCTCTGGCGAGTGGGGCCCGTGCTGGGCTCCCCACGGAGCCCGTGAGAGGGGGCGTCCGGTGGCGCCGAGCTCACAGGGGGTGAAGGATGTGAAAGGTGAGAGACGCTCATCCGCGGGCAATGAGCCGTCCTGGAAGAGGCAAGAGGTGGTGTGCTCTCTGTCGGAGCAAATGTCTGCCGGGTTCCCAGCACGCCCGCGACCCTGCGGAGCAGCTCTGCAGAGATGGGGGTGCCGGGCCCTGGCATTTCCCCCAGCTTGGGCGAGCCCCAGTCGGGTGTTCTTGCCTGCAGCACTGGACCCTGCTGAGCGTGTCCCTGCTGAACTGCCTCCTGTCCACCGCGTGTAGCGTGGGGCTGGCACTGGCCATCGCCCTCACGGTGCACGGCCGGGGCACACACCTGGTCAGGGGCTGCAACAGCTCTGCGCTGCCTGCGGACGCCCGCACAGCCATCGCAACCAACGACTGTCCCTTCAACACAACGCGCATCTATGTGAGTCTGCGGGGCCGCCACACCCCCGTGCTCCTCCCATCAGCCTCTTTCTCTCGCTGCTTCCTCTCGTTTTTCTTCTTCTGTCTCCCTCTCCCTCTTCTCTCCCCTGCTGCCTGGCGTGCAGGCAGCCTGGTGCAGTGCCCACACTCTGCTGACCCCCTGCTCCACAGGACACGGCCCTGGCCCTCTGGTTCCCCTCCCTGCTGCTGGCAGCTGCAGAAGCCGTGCTCTCGGGCAGGTGCTGTTTGGTTGCTCTGGTCTTCCGGGGCATCGGGCCCTGTGCACACAGCTGGGACAAAGAGCAGGTATGCCCTGTCCAGCCAGATGGGTCTCCCGGTATCTGCCCCACAGTTGCTCCCTTTGTGCTGCATTTTGAAGGTCCTGGGTTCTGCTGGGAACAAGCAGACTGTGCAGCAATGGGAGGGGGGGATGCCGAGTTGGAACCTTTTCTGGCCAGCCTGGGTGCCAGACTGGCACCCCTTCATCTTGGAGAGTTGTGGACAGACCCTCTTCTTCATGCCCCTGAGAGTCAGGGGCTCTTGTTCTTCAAGCCTTGTTCTTTCCTTGTGTAAACTGCCCATCACACACCCTTGCCACCCTCCCCTTCTTTTTTTTTTTTTTCCCTTTTTTTTTTTCTCTGTAGCTGGCCAGGCCAAGTGCAGCGACAGAGAGGCCACCCCGAGAGAGGCAGCAGCTCCTGGCAGGGCTGGCTGAGTCTCGTGCCTAGCTGGAGAGGTGAGCGCAGCACATGGGCCGTGCTTGGGGACAGCAGGGTGCAGGCTCTGCCATCAAAAGGGCCCCTGCCCACACCAGCCCCCCAAAACACCTCTTCCCAAGCACATGGCCAGTGGTATCAGTGCGATGCTGGGACCTGCAGCACAGCCTTGCACTTACACGTGCTCCTTCACTCCCAGGTGGTGCTGCAGGAGTGCTGTGATCCAGAGCAAGGTGACATCACACCTGCACCATGCCCCTGCTGTGGGTGAGGTGGGCTGCAGGGGTGAGGGGTGTGCCTTCCTTGTCCCCCAGCCCCACCACCCCACCTGGCACAGATCCTGCAGGTCAGAAGGTGCTTTGGGCCCCAGACACTCTCCCCCTTCTCTCCCCAAGCTGCCAGGCCCTTCCTGGCATGCTGAAGGCTCTGTCAGCAGTCATGTCTGTCAGCAGTGACTGGGGTGAGCAGAGGTGCCGGGGCCCAAGTCCTGGTGGCACTGCGAGCAGGTCAGCTGGCTGTGCCATGCTCAGGCAGGGCAGGGAACAGAAGGTGAAGAATCCTTTTGGTGTGAGCCTCTGGGTTTCTTGAGTAAATAAACTTTTCCACACTGGCTTCTGTGAGTGGCTCTGCTGGGCAAGTGCTGGCTGGGAGCTTGGCCTGCTGAGGGAAGGACCGTGCAGCTGCTGGGAGAGTCCATGTCCATGCTCACCACTCCCTAGGCACAGGGGTGTTGACAGAGCCATGGGGTCAGTGTGACAGTCGTCCATCAGGGTGGAGGTTGAGACTCATGTACAGGGTTTATGGCTCTGTGCCCCAGCAGCTGCCTGTGTTGTGGGCTCAGCATCCCCTGGCACACAGGAGCACAGCAGGGTTGAGATACACATTTATTGGGGGTAGAAGGGGAGGGTGCTGAAGAACTGCCCTGAAAGCTTCCGTAGTCCTGCTCACTGGAACGAGAAGCTGGTGCTCGGGAGTGCCCCACACCACCGTCGAAGAAACTCGATCACATCCTGGCCCGCAGGGCTGTGGGATGTCTGCAGAATGAGAGAGGTCTTGGCACTGGAAAGAGGGCCCTCTCCCAGGGGGCTCCCCGAGAGTACCCCGGGGGCTGACAGGGCTGGGACTGTTAATTCCCACCCAACAGCACATTGGGAGAGTGCAATAAACCTTCCTGGGACAGTGACTCACCCAGCATGACTGTACTGTCAGCATGAGGGGCTGAACCCACACCCACAGCCTGCCTGCCTGCCTGAGCCTGGGTCCTGGCTCACCTTGACAGCCATCATGAACTTGTACCACGCGTCCTTGTTGACTTCTCGGCCTGGCTTCAACTCGATCTTGTTTCTTAGTACAGGGTATCCTGGGCACAAAGTGACACGTTCAGAACAAGCTGAGCCCCACAGCAGACCCCCACCTGGTGCATCCATTCCCTCTGCCGTGGTTGGGGCTGCCCCATGGCACAGTGTGGAGAGAGCGATGCTGCCTCAGGCTTTAAGAGACCAGAATGAAGAAGGGGGTGCTCAAAGTGGCAGGATCAAATGAAGATGAAGGCTGAACTGCCCTTGGCCAAGGACACCCAAGTGAGTAGGTCAAACAATGGCACCCAGCTCCTGATTTTAAAGCCTGTTCCTGGTGGCTCACTTCTGCTCTCCCTTCCCTGATCCTCTTTAAGTCCTGCACTGCAGTCCAGTACTGTCTGAAGTGTGCACATGGGGAACAGACCTTGCCAGAGTGACAGCTTTTGTAGAGCAGGGCAGAGCAGGGCCAGGTGCTGCCCGGGGACAAGCATCTGTGCTGGCCAGCCTGGAGTCCCCAGACAGAGCTGTGCCAGCCTGAGCCATCACAGAATCACATAGAGTGGCTGAGGTCGGAAGGGCTCTGGAGTCTGTATGGTCCAACCCCCTGCTCAGACAGGGCCACCCCAGCCCAGGACCATGTCCAGATGGCTTTTGACTGTCTGGAAGGATGGAGATGCCACAACTGTGCAACCTGTTCCAGTGCTCAGTCACCCTCCCAGTAACAAAAGGGTCCTTCTATCTCCTCCAGCAGCACTGGTTCCCCACAGCCACAGTCTCCCCACTCCTCTCCCAGACCTGCCCGGCAGCATGTTCCCACTCCCTGCATGGCACCATCATCCCCTATCTGAGTGAGCTGGCCTGGAGCTTACCTGTGAGCAGGCAGGGCAGGGAACGCACCCCGGTCCCTGCTGCCACCAGTGAGGCTTCGTAGGTGTTGCGCTCGTCCTGTGGCAGCACCTGCTCCAGCCGCTGGTCCATGGACATGGTGAGCACCCAGTCCTTGACCTCCTCCCGCTGCTCCTCCTGCAGGCACAGGCCAGTGCATGGCCTGGAATTGCTGTGCCGCTGCCTGGCTGCAGCCCCGCAGCCCCAGGGAGCACAGGGGAGAGCAGGACACAGGCATGCAGGACGTGCACAGGTGAGCACACACATGGGTGGTGCACAGCAGAGGGTGAGTACGTGTGTGTGCATTGGAGAGCATGGGAAAGAATGTGTGTGTGTGTGCACTTGCAGTGGGGTGGGGGGCACAGAGCAGGGCCAGGGCTGGCTCTGTTTCCATCCCCAGTAGTCCCTACCATCCCAGCCTCATCCCAGTCCCTGTTCAGAGGGCCCTGAAGTACCATCACTGCTCACAGGAGCTGGAGAATGCAGGTGACACTCACAGGCACATGCTGTTGGGCTGGAAGTGGCACTTCAAAAGGAATGTCTGTTCTCTGGAAATCAGAGTGGTCCAGGGAATCCAGGTTCCCTTCTTCAATGGCCTGGGAAAGGAGAAGTGGTGGAGCACTGGGCAATGCCAGTTGTGGAGCTCACAGCACAATTCATGGTGAGGATGGCCCTGTCTGTTCATGCTTTGGTGACCAGGCCCTCCTGGCATCCACGGCCACCCTCTGCAGTGCCCCTCAGACACTCTCCTACTCAAACTTGTCAGGTGGCCTCAAAGAAGGGAAAGATGTAATCCAGGGCTTTTATTTTCCCCCAGCAGCTGCCAACAGCTCTCGGGAGTGTGGCACAGTGAGGTCTGTCAGCTCCCTTGGGTTTGGTGTTTCTGATGACCAACCTGCTGGTCAAAGAAGGGGCTGAGGGGACTCTCGAGTCTTGTATCACAGTGGCCAAGGCACTGGGTGGTGGCTTCCACCCCCCAGGTAGTTTTCTTTCCCTTGGAACAACTCAAGTGAGCTCATCCTGAAAGCTGTAACAGCACCTATAGCCATAAGGACTTCAGGCCTAAACTGTCAGGCCAACGTGCTCTTTGCTGCCACGTGCACGGTGGCATTGGCACGCCCAGGGCTGTACAGGTGCCCTCCATGACAGGTCCTCCCACAGGTGGTGTGAGGGTACCCAATGCTGTGCACACACACACTGAGTGGGGTTTGGGGCTCTCCATCAGCATGAACTCCAATGTGCTGCCATAAGAGCCTCAGATGTGCCCTGCCCAGGCTGGGGGTCTGCGGTGGCCCTACTGCTTGGTGTCATTTCAGTGGGACAGCCCTCCCCCTGCAGACCATACGCACGTCTGAGAGGTCCAGGAAGCGGTTCAGGAAGATGAATGCCATGTTCTCCCAGCTGACTGCCTGGTACAGAGAGGAACCCCGAGTGAGACCGGGCAGCTCATCCTCACAGCCACAGCTCTCCTCCCAGAGCCACGTCTGGGGAGGACATGGCTCTCTTTGTGTGACAGCATCCCACTTGCAGCACAGGAAATGGACAAAGAGACTGCACATCCCAGCTCGCCACCCCCGAGGAATGAATCCCTGGGACAACCAGCCCCGTGGCCACAGGCTGTCCCACACAATGCAGCCAGGCATTATGGACAGGCTGGATGAGGCTTGGAGCAACCTAATCTAGTGAAAGGTGTCCCTGGCCACGGCAGAGGGTGGAATGAGATGAGCTTTAAGGTCCCTTCCCACCCAAACTATTCCATGATTCCCTTATTGCACAGCCAGGTCCAGGCTGTGAGGGCATGCTGCTGTCCTCGCCATGTGTCACCTGGGCAGACTGTCAGACACTTGAGTGACCCAGAGCAGTCTCACAGCCACACTAACAGAGCTGTAATGGGGCCTCTGTCCACCCCTGGCTCTGCAGGTCCTGTCGGTTGGCTGAGGTCTGTCCTCCCTGCCTGAGGCTGGACAGCTGCTGGAGTTTGGCTATTGGGCTGCAAGTGCAATCAGGGGGGAATTTGGGAAGATAAAGCTGAGAATCTCTGAACCCAGGGTGCCCCACCTCCTCTGCTCTGCTGGCAGGTAGCTCTTACCTTGGCAGCTACCCCAGCCTCATAGAAAGCCTTGTCTGCAGGGAGCAGATCCGTGTGGCGCAGTAGGGAAATGGACAGCTGGGCAGCCATGGTGTCCTGTGAACATAGAGGACAGGAAAGACACAACAATTCAGCACAGAAAAAACAGCTTGTAAGGGATCTCATGAGATCACACCACCCCAGACTCACGGCAGGGACTCTGCACCCACATGTGCCCTACAGGTAACAAACAAAGGTCAAAAGCTTCAGTTCTGACCCTGACTTCCCTCACTACTGAACACATGGGACTGTCACCTGAGGGTGAAATTCTTCTGTTTATGAACATTGCTATTTTTCAGTAGAAGCCAACCCCAAATTCCCCCCATTTGAGTCACAGAACAGGTGAGGTTGGAAGGGATTGCTGGTGACTGCCAAGTCCTGCCCAAGCCCTGGTCAAAGCAGAGGCAGGAACTTGCCTGTCAGGTTTTGACTATCTCAAGGGATGGAGACTCTCCAGCCTCTCCAGGAAACCTACTCCAGCCACAGTCTCAGTAAGCTTTTTCTTGTATTCAGTTATGTAAGAATTATGGAGTGGAGATGAGGAATTAAAGGGGGATTTTACTTTTCTGCTTGCCAGATATACATCATCACACCAGAACTGTCAAGGCCACCCCTGCTCCATGATCCCAAACAGACTGCGCAGCATCTCAACATTCCACAGCTGTGAGGGTCTGTACAGACTTGCTGTCTGACATGGTTCTGGACTCCCAACATCCACACATACAGCCATGGGGAAGTCCCAGTCTCCCCTGTGACTTTCACTGGGGTCCTAGCTGTGGCAACCTTTCCTTTTTGCAGCCTTCTCCATCACAGCTCCAGTCCCACACTAATACAGACCTCTAGCACAATTCCACGATCCCACATGGATCAAGACTTCAGCAGGGAGGCTGCTACATATTGTGGTCCACAACAATTCCCAGTCCACAAAAGACTCCAAAATACTTACAGTGCCTTTTGTGCCCCCCTCCCAGGCCCGTGAGCTCCCAAAGCCCCCTGAGAGGCTCAGCACACAGGGCCAGCACCTGCCAAAGCCCTGGGCAGACGAGCTGCTCTCAAGATCGTGTGAAGCCCAGCAGCTCTCGCAGCCCAAGACAGCAGAGAGGAAGCAATCCCTCTCCTGGGAAGACCAGATTTTTTGTGAATCCCTAACTTTCTATGGTGCCTTTGCTCTCACAAGTCATGCCAAACACATGGATCAGCTTTCCCCTGGTTTACAGCTCAGCCTCAGTGGCTGGGGCAGTTGCCACTATAAGCAGGGAAGACCATCTCCAGTTTCACCTGCTGGTGAAGGGCT